GAAAGAACCGATTTACAAAAGAGGAAATTCTCGCTCCGAGACGCACTTCTATCATGAAGAGGGAACCTAAACGAAAGAGGCAAGTGCGGAGTTTGGATGTCACACATGCTGAGACTTTGCCAACAGGATGGACAAAATTTAGTATATTCTTTCAGTTGCCTTACTGGCACAAGCTCAAACTCTGACACAATTTAGATGTAATGCATATTGAAAAGAATATATGTGAGTGAGGAAAAGACGAAAGTACCTCCGAAAGGGTACCGGGGCATTTTGGAGTGGAAGGACAACATTCCTGTTGGGGATTGGGCTGTCAGATTTAATAACTTGATTGGCTGTTTAATAAGAGATCCACGCTCCATTAATATTGCTCATAATTTTGAGGAGCAAGAATTTAAATGCATAAAAAAGATTTGGGAGAAGCTCATGGTAATTATTTAATATACTGCTGCTTATTTTGTTTACAATTCACAATGATTATTCTTATAGTGTAATTTTTTTGCCATGTAACTTGCAGGATCATTATTGTCTTGAAGACAACCCAGAGTCTTGGGATTATGTTATCCCAAAAATGGCCAAGCTTATTCGAGTTTGGAAGAGTGATCTAAAGAAAAGATATTTCACAAATTTATCTACTGATTGGAAGAGGATCTATGAGCTTGATAAGAGAGTTCCTCCATTTAATTGGATGACTCTCATTATCGAGTGGGAGGGTGAGAAGAAGGTAGATTATTTTTAATTTATGACATTATCATCACGTTATTTTTCATTTATATATTATCATCGCACATACTAAAAAATACTTTATTTTGTAGAAAATATGTGAAACGGCATCGGCGAATCGTAGATCAAAGCTATACGATCACTTTTTAGGAGCTACTTCTTATGCTCAGATCGAGCATAAGTATTTGAGCGAAAACCCGGTATGATCATATTATTAAAACTGATTTCATGTGATTAGTTTCCTACATTTAATTTGGAATTTAATATATCACAGGACGCTTTGACTATGCCCCCGACTCTTCTGGCTAAAAGAGCTTATACACCACCCCAGGGCTATGAAAATGTAGAGGGAAATGACAAAAAGGTGGAGAAAATTAATGAATTGAACGTAAGTATAAGATTAATTTTAGATTTGTATATACTTAATGATTTTTCATCAAAGTTTCTAATTTTTATGATATATGATATGCAGGCGGCGCTGGAAGCTTCTCAAAACGATGTCTTCACCCGTGTCACGCAGTCTCGAAGTACAGAGGACACTCCTGTAGAGCCTAACCGCATGACCAGAGACGAGTGGATGGAAGTTGTCGACGGAGCTTACGGTTTACACTCAAGAAAGAAAGGAAGAGTGCCTTTGTCAAGTACTAGAGTTAAGACACTCACCACCACCAATAAGCCTAGCAGCCAATCTGTGACATCGACGCGACACGGTGACACGTCATATGTCGTGGGTAAGATTGGAAAATACTTGATGAAGAATGTTGAAATTCCATTGGCTTTAAGTTTTCTTCCCACTATTAAGCACGAGTTAAGTGGTGCACAAACGACTTGGGATGTCGTTCAGCGACTCATCGATTCTCAACCCGTAAAGGACTTGCTTCCGCAGTCTATATACGCGGATATTATGGTGTTGGCATTTGATGAGCATGCAGCTGCAAGTGGTGGAGAGGTATATATGTCATATTATATATATGTATTTATTATGAGTATTTTGGAATATATTCTCATATTGATTTACATTCTTTTTAGGCTAGAGGAGGTACCGTCGTAGGAAGCAGCAGTACGGTACGACATTCTGATGCAGCCGCCACCGATGATAGGGATCACGACGATAGGGACCACGACTATGATGAGTGAGTGAGTGGTGAGTTAGACTTTTTGGTAACTTTTGTGGACTTTTGGATTGTGTTAAACATATTATGACCTCCTGATTATGTAGACTTTTGGATTGTGTTGAACATATTATGACCTCCTGATTATGTATATATGTGAATTGTTAAATGTTAATATTGTTGGATGTGAATTGATGAATGTAAATGTTAGTATTGTTGGATGTGAATGTGAATATTGTTGAATGTGAATCGGTGAACGTGAATATTGTTGGATGCGAATCGATAAATGTGATATTGTGAGTATTGTTTAATATATTGTGAATAATGGTAGTAACAGGTACGCATTCCCGATTGGGGGGCTTTGCAATGCAGAAATAATTTTTTTACCTGATTATGTACATTGGCGACGGGCATTTTTCGTCGCCAATGTACATTGGCGACGGGAATACACCTGTCGCCAATGTACATTGGCGACGAGCTCATACCCATCGCCAATGTACATTGGCGACATGCAATAACCCGTCGCCAATGTTTTCTGTCGCCAATACCTATCCGTCGCCAATGATCATTGGCGACGGATTTCCCCGTCGCCAATGTTTATTGGCGACAGGATTATTGGTGACGGACCCCGCCCCGTCGCGAAAGTGTATTGGTGACGGATTTTGCTGCATTGGCGACGGATTTCCCCGTCGTCAATACTCATTTTTCTACTAGTGTTCACTCGTATAACGAAGACCCAAACGGACTCCGCCCGTCGCGAAAGTGTATTGGTGACGGATTTTGCTGCATTGGCGACGGATTTCCCCGTCGTCAATACTCATTTTTCTACTAGTGTTCACTCGTATAACGAAGACCCAAAAAAAAAAAAAAAGATACATCATATTTATATTTTATAATGATTTTAGTAACATATAATATTGAGTTCGATATTGAGAATAACTTAAGTTTTAATAAATTTAGTAATAAATTTGAAATGGTAGAGGTGAGGAGAGGAAACAAATAGGAAAAGACAAAAAGGTCATTCGTTCATCATTTACTTTACCTTATAATTTACAATTATACCCTCTAATATCCTTCTATTAGCAGAAAATTTTCCATCACTCATCCCTATTTTGTCTATCATCACTTGCACATTATATAGTACTACATAGGGTGCATTTAGTCATATTCATATTCATTTACCTATATCAGATACATGTACGAATACTCAGTAAGAAAAATTCATATCCGTATCCGCCAAAATAGGATACGGATATGGATATATATCCGGATATATGAGCGGATATGTATACAGATAAAAAACAGATATGAGAAAACTAGATAGTATTAAAAATATAGTTCATGTGATACAAAAGAGTTCATTAATATGTTCATTTTATCTAAAAAGCTAAGGTTAGACATATTGATCATCAAAATTAACCTCAAATCCATAATGTAAGGATTAAAACTATCGTAACAGTATGATTAATATTTATTTGGATACTTCGGATACGGATCTAGATATTTCACTAAAAATATATCCGTAGTCATATCTTATTGGTTGTAGATTTGAATAACCATATATGTATTCTAACGGATACAATTAAGGATATTTTCCTGGATCGTGATGCGGTTTAGCAATTCGTACATATATAAACACTAGTTGGATTGCACGTGCAATGCACGTGGTATAATTTTTATCATTTATTATAAAATTTTAATTTTATTTTGGGAAAGATTTGTTATTAAATTATTGAATGTAAGCAATGGATCAAATATATAGACATAAAATAAAGTCATTGGACTTTATGCGACGTCAAAACGAATAAGTTGAAATCTTTTAGACATTTGGATATAACAACTAAGAATCACACTAATAACCTCATTGAATGAATGTGATACTTGGATTGAACATTAAATCTTTTGTGTCCTATAACAAAATAATATGACCAACATTAAAGATAGAATACAATAGAATTGGTTCAGCAAGTGCAATATGTTTTCAAGAAAATACATGTCAAGTAGCATAGACAATTATCTAGCATCAGTTAATCACTATGAAGTCAAGCTCTTCTCATGTCTTCTTAAGAGAAAGGATTGAGTCTTGAAAGAAGAACCCAACCGAGTAATACATTCTTGAAAAAATGGGTGATTACAATCTACTTACAGATAATCATCAAAATCCCCAACCAAAGAATAAAATGAAGAGTATCTCTCATTACATCACACCAAAAAAAACATAAAATTCCCTAGTTGTATACATCAAAAACCTATCAAAACAACTCCTAACATACTCACACCAAAAAATTAGAACATTAGCAACATTTAGCAATAAAAATATAGAACTTAAAAACATCTTCATTCACCAAAGACCTAACCTCAACTAAATAACATCAAATTGTTGATCTCCTAGCAGCTCCCCATGTCTCTTACTGTTTCGCTATGGTTTTATGGTCATAGGAAAGGCTAAAACAATAAGAAGGACAAATCAAGACATATAACCTTCTGAACACAAAGTTAAAGGAACATGAAACAGGGATGCATAAGGAATTAGAGCAGATGACCTAAGTACTGATTGAATCATTGATAATGAACAAAGCAATATAGAAATAAATCTCTCCTATAAAGAACATTCTTTTTAAACAAATACCCATTACATCTACAATATTTCTTACATTATAATGTCTGTCAACATTTCTTACATTAACATCTATAATATTTGTTATGCTATAGAGTCTATCAATAGAATAATTAAGCTAATAGACGCAAATGCGTTTTTGCTAACTATCATTCTCTAAGTTATCATATGACTTGTACCTTGTAAGCTTAATAATTTCCTTTAGCAATTGCATTATCAATTTTTATATGTATCATGAAATTAGTACTTTCCTCATAGTAATTTTAATTGGCATTTGAGCTCATATTTGCTTACATGAATTAAGATATTGCAAGATATTTGATAATGTACCCATTTAGTAAAAGTTTACTCTCTAATAGGAATTTTCAAATTTCAGAATCTTTAGTATATACCAATTGAGTCAATTACAATTATTATTAAACAACTAAAAAAGGAAAGGGAAAAAAATAAAGCTCTCTAGACAAAATATATTAAACTACTATATCTACTTATAGTTCTAACAAATGAGCGAAAGGGCGAAAGGGATATAGCCTATGATGATTTGTTGAAGGTAAAAAAGGTTAAATTATTTTTTTTTAAATTCGAGCCCAAGGTATTTATGATTATAATAATATACCATTATATCTGTGAATTTTAAGGTATGTGCAAATTTTCACAAGGTTCAAATCTCTCTAACCCAATTTATTTTATTTCATCAAGTACTATAAATGCACATTATCACTTACACTGATATGAACAGTCTCAAATCTTTTAACTTAATACATAAGCATGATTTGACAAAATCTTGTGGTTAGTTATGCTCAACAAGCTCATGACCAAGGATAAAGTTAAAGCTTGGGGGAGAACAGATGATGCACACGGTAACCTTTGTGGGCTCATAATAAAACTGTTGAGCATTTGTTCTTTAAATGCTTATTTTTAGCTTAAATATGTGATCAAATACTATCCTATATGAGGCTACAAGGAAGACATAAGTCTTGGATTAGATTCCGGCCTTAGTATAAGACTCTAGAGGGAAGAAAAGGTCCAGGTTCAAGGCATAGAAGATCTTTGCTTGTAGCAACTTTTGGCCTTCTTATTTTGATGATAATTTACAAATAATTTACATCTAATAATGTTTGTCTAGTATTTGTGTTTTATATTTATTCTAGACAAACAATATGTTGGAGGTTGAATGGATTGCGCCACAATGATCATATCCAATGGAGGTTGGCGGAATTGTAGAGTAAAGCCTACGCAATTCAAAGTTAAAGATCAAGTTCAAGCTTCATCCGCAAGTGTACCAAGTCGAGCTTATTGAAGATCAAGATCTAGCTTGGGTAACTTAGTTTAGGTTTTATATTATGTGTGTTAAGTACCTTAAGCTCAATATCATATACACACAATATACATACTCATATGTTTCATTTTCTATTGTATTTGTAAAAATATTGTATTCTTGGTTTTTGGACTTAATAATAATCATATACATATTTTATTAAGTCTACATAATCATTGTGCAAAGTTTCAAAATATGGTTTAGCCAAAATGTTAAAATTCACATGTTTACATTTTCATGTTTTGGCCTATTTTGTAAAATAATAATATTTTTCATTTGGGAAGTTTTTTTGGAAACCAGTCATTGTAGCATGTTTATTATCATGTCTATAATCATTCCCCAAAGTTTTACATTTTTTAGAATTTATTTGATGTTTTTAAACAGTATTTTAAAATTAGAAAACTGTTTAAAACTGTAAAATTTTATATATCAGTTCACGGTCGACCGCCACGGTCGACCGCGCATGAATCTTTTCCATAGTGGGCAGCAGAAACTTTCACGGTCGACCGTCAAGCTGAATTCCTCACGGTCGACCGCCGCGGTCGACCATCGAACTCTCTGGAGTTTCTCCTGTTGTTTTTGTTGCTCCCCGGCGCTTATCCCAATGGCTCTTTTGGTATAGAATTAGATTTCTGATTCTTAGGTTGTTTGGTCTTTTTCTTTGGGGTTTTTGCTGTTGCTTCCTCTTCCTATATAAACCCCCAAACCCCCTTCTATCTCAGTAACCAATGGGATGCTTTAAACAAGTTTATAAAAGTTTTACAGGGGTTTAAGTTTGGTTTAAAGCTATTTTAGTTGGTTCACAAGTGGAGGAGATCATCTACATTGTTTGAGCTTCCTTTTAATCCATCTCTCCATCTTGTTTTTCAGAGAAGAATTCCTAAACTCTATTTCTAGCTATTTATTATTTTATTCATAATTTCTATATGCTAGATTTTATTTGAGTTTAGTTGCTTTATTTTTTTTATTGTTTACTAGTATTTACATACATAGTATATTAGGGTTGGGAGAAATTATAACATTGAGTTGAGCTTTAATTGAGTTCTCGCATTGTATTAGAGAACAAATCATTTGTTATCTTTGTGAGATTGCAAAGTTTTCAGTTAGCTAGAAAACCGAGTGTGAGGAGTGGACGTTGATCGGTGAACGTTGAAAACCGATATTGTGAGTGAGTGTATATGTTGATCGGTGATCGTTGAAAACTGACATAGTGTGGTTGTAAACGTTATTCGGGTGAGCGTAGAAAACTCGGTTGTGATAGTGGATTTCTCCCCTGGAGAGGGGAGCGGAGACGTAGGACGAAAGGTCCGAACTCCGTGATCATATCGTGTGTTTGAGTTTGCTTTGACGCACTTAATCTTATGTTTATATTTATTATCGCCATTGTCCATAGCTCATTATTTTTATCATCCACTATCTATTTCAATTGTTTACCCCTTGTGTTAGTTTACATATCCTTGCATATATCATATTGTATATCTCTTTGCTAGGATATATCTCTTTGTTCATATTGCTTATCCTAGCTTACATATCTTGTTGTATTTCATACTTGCTAGGATAACTTGTTAATTAATTTTAATTGGCATAAAATCGGATTAGATTAGCATAAGACCCTAATCACCCCCCTCTAGGGTCTAACAACAACTATATACTATATTTAGCAGGAACGAAACTGCAGACAATTTAGAGGCATTAGCAATTCCCTCGCAGGATTACTCAATAAAATTCACAGCTTGATGGCCTGCAAACTTGGTGATTTTAAATGACACTAACTTATATTTGTATATTGTTCTCTCATGCAGCATTGTGATGTTTTTTCTTGCTATTGGAAGCCTACTTTTGTTATACTTTTGAATGCCTAAGTACCCTTGTACACCTGATAATCAGTGAAATATTCTTTACCTATGAAAAAAAAGTCATCACTCAATTTGGTACTCAATCGCATGTCGCATTCCTATCTCACACAACTTGGACGAAGTATTGCCTTCTTAGTGATAATGCTTCAGAGTATTATGGATTAGCAAGATGTATTGCAAGCTTGCAACTTTGCAAGAAGCCTTAGAGCTTGAGTAAAATAAAGAATTTTCACTTTCAAATGGCCATGAAAGATTAACATAGAATCACATTGCCATACTAACCTAAAGCCAATGAGTCTTACATTTAAGCAAAATAAAGTTCAGTGGGATAGCAATGCATCTAATCTACGAAGTGTAATTATAAGCAAAAGTAAGAGATATTCTCCTTAATTTTTAAATAGGAGTAAAAATTATGAACGATCATTCTGATATCAAATAGTTACTCAAAGCTAATCATAACACAATCATACAATTTAAAAAACAAACATTGGTAATGTAAGTCTTACCCTTGATTGATCCACCTCTGGATCTACCAGGGAAACCACTCCTGCAAGTGTTTCAAGTGTTGTCCCTGCAACCGTACAAACATGAAAAGTGATCAGTTTGATCAAGCACAACAGTAGTTGTACTTAGCAGTTATAACATTAACATGAGACGATTTCCAGCCAATCAAAGTGAAGCAATAATTACAAAAGACATAAACTGGTAAATGTAGCATCTAGTGTTAAGTTATTTTCATCATAGATACCAAGAAAGGTAAAAGATTTCAGTACCAGCAACATAAGTGCTGGATTCAACACTGCTAGAATCATATCGTCATCTTCCATCACTTTGACTAAGAGACTGATGTAATAATGGTTTAAGTTATACCACTTCACTAAATGGAAAAGTAGCAAAAATGAAAAAGAATACATAGGAGTTGAAAGCTTATCACCTTTATGGAATCAAAAACACTACTGGCATCTGACAGTGACACATCAAAACCTTGATTCTGCATCAGAAAAATGAAAATATGTTTTTTATGGTTATAAAGTTTCAAATAATAACAGAACACATTGAAGATCAAAGAGAAGGCAATTAAGGATGTAACTATATCAATAGAAATAGAACTCGAGCATAATAAACTTGTGTATCAGCTGAAATAATAACAAACAATTTAGTACAAAACAAACAATGCAATGTCTAATTTGATCTCACAGGATATTTTCGGTAAATAGTCATATACAACACATTATACAAAAGAATATACCGAGATCATAAGTAATCACGAGTTCTTCATCAATCTCAGGGCTCCACTCCTCAACATGCAATCTCTCTGCCAAATTCCCCCACTCATAAAACTCAAAGAAAAACAAATAATTTGGAGGCCTCGCATGAGCAATAACCAACTTGGCTAATCAAGGATGATCCACTTCACTTCACGCTAAAAAAAACCAACATCAAAATTATCCATATTGGTCAACATGGGCACTCCCAAAATCCCAACTTTAAGTGAAAACCACCTAAAGGAGTGTAAACTTTCTTACCACCACAGTTGAAGCTCTCTGTGGAACTTGTCGAGGTCGTCTGAAGAGGAAAAGACAGGTTTTTTGATGGTGACTCTCCGGCCATCGAGCCTCACGTCATAGTCAACGGTGCTTTCAGAACCTTGTGTTTGGTGAAATCAAAGGAGAGTCTCAGAATGGACTAACAGAAAATTAGAGAAAAGACATAGGGGGTTTGGTGAAAGTTTACCTTTAGCGATAGGGGAGAGGAGAGAGAAGGAAGAGGGAGGGAGATGGAGCGGGATTGACTTGCTCGAGCAGCTCTCTTCAAACAAAACGGGAGGCACAATCAGTTGAGTCTAGCATTCCTGTGCAATTCCCCACAATTCTCTTCAACAAAAAGAAGATGTATGAGTAATTCAATATCAGCATAAAAATTTTGGGGACAAAATAATTTTTTTTCTTAGCTAATAAAGATACCTTACTGGTTTTGGCATCAATCTAACATCTAAGAATGTTGTTCAATCTCAATGCATGAAACACATCCTTCGTTGTAGAAGAAGACGAACCGAGTTTTTCCACAACAAGCGCGCATGTTGCCCGGCTACTTTCGGAAACCTTTTTAGAGTCCTAGAATCCGAAATGTTCTCACTGTTCCATGCTATATTTAGCCTCTTCATTTCGTAACAAATTTTCCATTAATTCTTAAGTAAAAAAACTCTTAACTTGTGACAATTAGTTGGAATTTATTGGGTGTGAAAGCTTTTGATTTTATAACTCATTTTATAAATTCTTAATAATAATAAAAAACACCTCATAAATTTGCCCATTAATTAGATCCAAATTAACTTTGTTATATTTACAAAAGTTGAAGGGCAATTTGGGGTAGTGAAAGTTTTTCTAGTTATATATATATATATATATATATATATTATTATATTAGGATTAGGGTTAGGGTTTTAAACAAAAATAATTATAATAAATATTTACGGGTATTTAAAAATTAAACTAATTACAGAATAATTATCTACAAATAAAAACGTACCCGTTGTGCTAATACTACAGTTGGTACGAAATAGTCGAAATATACCCATATTGTACAATTAAACGGAAATAATTAATAAATAAAATATATTTACTTACATTTAAAATCAAATAATTATGGAATAATTATATACATAGTAAAACATACTAGTTATACTAATACGACAGAAAATATGTAACAGTAGAAATAATACAGCAAATTATACAAATAACACGTAATTAATAATACAACGTATTATTCAAAAATATGAGTAATAATAAAAATAATACAACGTATTATTCAAAATGACATGTAACAGCATCGATAACGTAACAGATAATTTTTTTTATAAATTTTCACCGCATAAAATTAATTTACAAATATTAATATCATTTAATTAAATATAAAACTTAGAGTTTAAATCATAGAAAATTGTAGAAATTCAAGAAAATACAAATACTCTTTTAAAAATTATAATTAAATATTTTAAAATACTAGAAAATTATTTTAACTAGTATCAAAATTTTACGGTCATTACACATGTCATGTTAATTCAGACTCCAGATGTATATCAGTTGTATTTTAGTTTATTATAGTTGAGACATGATATCATTATGAGATATTTCTTTCTACATCATGTCTATTGTATTTTTATTTCCCTTATTTGCCTGTTTTGTACGTTCACTTCTACTTGATTCCACTAGAGGATATTACTGTGATTGGTGAAACATGTTATTGCACAGTGGAGGTGCATGGCGGGTTTGATATCTCTGGGTTCACCTTGGACTGCAGCCAAGTGTGAAAACAGGGGCGTCATAGTTGGTATCAGAGCCAGGTTCCTGTATCCTTAGGATCATCCTGTGTCAAGTCGTGGAGCTAGAATAGAGTTTCCTAGGATTTATATATAGAGTTCGATAAGAATTTCTTAGAATGAGTGAGGACGATATATGCGTATATCTCAAAATTTTAGAATTTTTTTGACTACCATACTTTGATTTAAAAGTATTTTCATGAATAATTTATTATTAAATATGTTTTTGCCTGAGGTCTCAATACTGTGTCTTATAAACCATCTTCCTGAACTTAAGATGGTGGAACAAGGACGCGGACGTGGTAGGCCTCATACCAGGAGAGCTGAGCAAGCAGAGTCAGAGTCACAGCAGAGCAGGCTCCGCAGTACCTTGTAGACCTCATGGCACCTATAGTAGCCATGTTAGCAGCACTCAAGGAGCAGATGACGAATCATGTCCAGCCAGTTACACCACCACCGATGATTCCAGTCATTCCCATCTCAGAGGAGACCCCAGAGATCACACCAGGCATTACACCACCACCAGCTATAGGGCGAGCAGCAGAGCAGGAGGCTTGGCTCCGTTTAGTAGAGCGGTATCAGAAGATGAGGGCACCAGAGTTTTAAGGTTCATCAGATTCACTTGTAGCTCATAAATGGAAGGAGGATGTGAGTAACATACTAGACTTACTTGGTGTAAATTCAGTGCAAAGGCAGAGGCTAGCAGCTTACAACCTTAAGGGTGATGCCGGAGGATGGTATCGACTTTAGTTTACCCCAGAGCACCGGATGACTCTCACTTGGGAGGATTTTGTATACTTCTTTGATGAGTAATACATCTCTTCCGCGGCACGGGCCGGAAAGGAACTTGAGTTGTCCAGATTAACGCAGGGAGACATAACCGTAGCTGATTACGAAAGCAAATTTATGAGTCTGCTTCACTTTACGGGCATGTGGAAGACCGGAGAACGCCAAGCACAGATGTTTCTATCGGGCATACGTCCTAGCCTACGTCGCTACCTCGTTTCCAGGAGGTTTCACTCAGTTCGAGAGGTAGCTAATGCCGCCATTTCTCAGGAGACCGAGATGACTATGTTCCAGAAAGACAAGGAAGGAAATGCTAAAGTAGGACATACCAGGGATAAGGGCAAGGGTAAGAGACCTTTTGCCGGACCTAGAGGACCCCCAACAACAGGGTAAGGATTTTCAGCATCAGCAGCAAGGACAGTTCAAGAGAAGACCACCACATGATCAGAGGAGGCAGTAGCAGCATAAATTTCAGGGGACATGCCACAACTATCAGAAATTTGGGCACAGAGTAGCAGAGTGCTGTAGCGCACCAAGAGGAGGCTAGCAGCAAGGTCGAGGATACGGTCAGCAGCAGAATCATGGTCAGGGCTAGCAGCAGCAGCAGGGCCGCGCATACGGTCAGCAGTAGCGGAGGATCGAGGCACCACCTGTCATTCCGAGGATTGAGGGGCCAACAGGCCAAATGCGTGCTATCCAGGAGATTCCTGAGGCACAGATGGCCTCGTATGCTCCACCACCAGCAGTTCAACAGTTACCAGCCACCGGCAGGATTTATGCGGTCGTACCACATGATCAAGGTGCGCAGAGCCATAGTGGAAGGTATCTTTCTTGTGAATTCCTTTCCAGCTCGGATCTTATTCGATTCTGGAGCTTCGCATTCTTTTATTTCTCCTACCTTCATGGCTAGACTTTAGTTAGTTGCACATCTGTTAGACGTACTGTTATCAGTCTCTACTCCTTTAGGGGAGGTATCCCTATTAAAGAGTATCTGTAGGAGTTGTGTCATCAGTCTAGATGAGTCCGAATTTCTCATAGATCTAATCATGTTGCGGATGTCGGATTTTGACGTCATTCTCGGTATGGATTGGCTTTCATCCTACCATGTCAGTATCGACTGTTTCGCTAAGGACGTCATTCTCGGTATGGATTGGCTTTCATCCTACCATGTCAGTATCGACTGTTTCGCTAAGACAGTCAACTTGCGAGCTCGGTATGGATTGGCTTTCATCCTACCATGTCAGTATCGACTGTTTCGCTAAGACAGTCAACTTGCGAGTGTCCGATGGGTCTGAGTTTATCGTAGCGAGTTCACAGGGCAACCAGTTTGCGGAGTCTCTTCTGGCATATGTTGAGGAGGTGATGCTGAGGGACCAGAGTGCTGATTTGTGTGAGACTAGAGTTGTCTCGGATTATCAGGATGTCTTCCAGGACATACCTGGATTACCTCCTATGAGAGAGGTTGAGTTCTGCATCGAGTTACAGCTAGGCACAGCACCGATATCCCGAGCACCCTATCGTATGTCACCTGCTGAGATGAGGGAGATACAGACCCAGTTGGATGCGTTGTTATCTCAGGGCTTTATTCGTCGGAGTCATTCTCCGTGGGGAGCATCGGTCCTTTTCGTGAAGAAGAAGGATGGTAGTATGCGATTATGTATCTATTATCGTGAGTTGAACAAGGTCACCATCCGGAATAGGTACCCATTACCGATGATTGATGACTTGTTTGACCAGCTACAGGGAGCGTAATATTTCTCAAAGACTGATCTTCATTCTGGTTATCATCAGTTACGGGTCCGGGAGATGGATATTCCCAAGACCGCCTTTCTAACTCGATATGGGTCTTTCGAATTTCTCGTCATGCCATTTGGGCTGACCAATGCACCCACAGTATTCATGGATTTGATGAACCGGGTTTTTTGTCCATACTTGGACCAGTTCGTGATCGTATTTATCGACGATATCCTTATCTATTCGAGATCGGAGGCAGAGAACGAGCAGCATCTACGATTGGTATTGCAGACTTTATAGGAACATCAGTTATATGCTAAGTTCAGCAAGTACGAATTTTGGCTATCAGATGTTAGATTTTTAGGCCACGTCATCAATAGAGAGGGCATTGCAGTAGATCCAGTGAAGGTTAAGGCAGTACTAGAATGGGAGCCGCCAAAAACCGTCACAGAGATCCGTAGTTTCTTAGGCTTAGCCGGCTATTACAGGAAGTTCCTTCAGGACTTATCAAAGATTGCCACACCACTTACACGCCTTACAAAGAAGGGTGTATAATTTATTTGGGGCATGGAGTGCCAGAAGTCCTTTGAGACCTTGAAGACCAAGTTAACTACAGCACCAGTTTTGACTATTCCGAGCAGTGATAGGACATTTGTTGCCTACACAGATGCGTCACTAGCGGGCCTAGGAGGCGTTTTAATGCAGACCCCAGAGAGTAGTAGTTTATGACTCTCTACAGTTAAGGACGCATGAGCAGAACTATCATACGCACGACTTGGAGTTAGCAGCTATGGTCTTCGCACTGAAGACATGGAGACATTACCTGTACGGGGTGCAGTTCGAGTTATTCACAGACCACCAGAGCCTGAAATACCTATTTTCTCAGAAGGAACTCAACCAGAGGCGACGACGATGGGTCGAGTTCATCAAGGATTATGAGTTCGCGATTCAGTACCATCCGGGGAAGGCAAACGTCGTGACGCTTTGAGCAGGAAGCGTCAACATCGGGTTATGGCTTTGAGGTGTTCGTTGTACCGAGATCTTTACACTCTTACCCAGTTTGATTTCAGGCCAGAGATCGGTGGGAGCAACGCATTTTGGGAGTTATGTCAGTACAATCATCTTGGAGCAATAGAGTGGTCGAAGCCCAGCTAGTGGACTCTTAGATTCAAACCCAAAAGGAGGAGATTTCCAAGGAGCCCAAAGATGATTGGACCATTGCAATAGACGGAGGCCTTTGAATGAAAGGTAGATTAGTTATGCCAGCTAGTGCAGAGCTAAAGAATGAGTTGCTTGATGAAGCGCATCGTTCTAGGTACACAGTGCATCCAGGCACAA